AGGAGAGAGAGAAAGAGAGAGAGCGAGAGATTACCCAGACAGACATGAATAAAGTCTGTAGGTCAGTTTCACAGCAGAAATGGGGAGCTCTGGAACTGCAAAGAGTTATTTCAGAATTAGTCCATAGGTGCAGCCAGTGTTTAGTATCAGGGTGACCTAGATTAGAACTGGAGCTCTCAATTGTGTGGCTCAAACTTCCCCTGACAAAGCATAAGCAGATTTGAGATTAAAAGGATCTGGTTCCAAGAGCCCTTTAGCCAGCCCCCTTGCCCCATCTGCCCCTTAAACTGAGCGTGGGCTTGGGGCCAGGGGTGGAAACTCAGGGCTGGAAGCTGGCAGGGGGGAGGGAGGGAGGAAGGAAGGATTCCCCCTGGACCCAATGGGGTTTGGGTCAGTGCATGGGGACTGGGTCAGTAGAACACTGGTGTTCTAGTGTCACATGTGGCCGGCCTGGATTCTTCCCCGTCCAGATATTGACGAATGTTCCCGAGACCCATCACCCTGTGGCTCCAATTCCATCTGCACCAACATGCCGAGCAGTTACACCTGCAGGTGCCGGGCAGGCTACCTCCCACTCATCCAGTCTGATGTCCATTTCAGCTGCACAGGTAAGTGTCTGATACAGGGCATGTGTGTTGGGCTCTGAGTATGAAAGACTAATGCCTGCTGACCAGGTCACCCCACACTATCCGTGTTACTGGGAGGCGCCATCAGACCAGAAACCTTTGTGCGTGGACCAGGTCCGTAGGTCTAGCCGTAGAAGGCGTGTGGGTGTGTTACTGTATGTATATGACATGGGATATAGGCATGGGAGGTGGGAGTCCCAGCTCAAGCAGACAGACACACCCTAGCAGGGTGGAGCATTCACAGAGGCAAGGTAGTTGATGGGCCAGTGCCCTAGGGCAGCAGCCCGAGCCTCATGGTGGCCTTTCTGCTTTGTAGCCCAGACAGAGCCAGCGAGCAGGTGTCTGCCTAGGCGGGGAATCGCAGCTGTAGCTGCAGTGCTGACAGGGCCCCAGGCTGGGGTAAGGCAGCGCTGCAGATCACTGTGGTGCTGTGTGAATGAAGACAGTACCTAAGGTGTGCTGAGTGACAGTTGAACAGCCTCCACTCCCATTGGTTGCAGGGGCAGCTGGTGGGGCTCCGCCCCCAGGGTATAGCCCTACAATAATAGAAAATCAGATCTGGAAAACGGGATTGTCTCCCTGCATATCTGGGGAAACTGAGGCCTCTGGAAGGGAAGGGACTTGGCAAAGGTCACATGGGGAGTCTGTGGCAGAGTTGGGGTCAGAACCCAGGAGTCCTGTCTTCCCAGTCCCCTGTTTTCACCTCTAAATCCCAGGTGTCCTGTCATCCACTTCCCACGCCACTAGCACTGCTCCCTTTTGGGGGTGGGCAGTATATTGCAAACCTGCTGGGAGCCATATTCCTGGCATGGTGCCCCCCTCTGATGCCAGCTGCTGGTGCTACCTTCTCTCTCCCCGTCCTCCCATAAGACAAGGCTCTATTGTGCAGAGCTGGGCCCATCTGCATTCAGTGGTATGCCTATGAAGTCTCTGCCCCTGCAATCCCAGCTTTGCATCATGTTTTGGGGAACAGCACATCACAGACCCAGCAATGCAGTGCAATGGTGAGAGCCAGTTCAGGTACGGGGTAGAGTGACCAATGCAGAAGGTTCCTGGGGCTGAAGGAAAGATTCCCACTGGATCCAGTGGGGTTTGGGTCAGTGTGAGAGGCTGGGGCGGTAGGACACTGGTGTCCTAGGGTCACACACGGACAACAGTATGGATTCTCCCTACTAGATATTGACGAATGTTCCCAAGACCCATCACTCTGCAGCCCCAACTCCATCTGCACCAACACACCAGGCAATTACACCTGCATGTGCCAGGCAGGCTACCTCCCGCCCAGCCAGCCTGGCGCCCCCTTCAGCTGCACAGGTAAGTGTCGGGAGATGCGGGTGGGTGCTGGGTATGAGAAGCTAACGCCTGGTGATCCGGTCACCCCGGAATTGAGAGCCAAGTTCTGAGTAGCTTTGCCAGCCCACCCGAGATTCTGAATGTCCAAAGTCCCGACTGCTGCGAAGTTTCATGGGAATAGTATCGGGGGCTCCTTCCCACGCTGCTGGAATAGCTAAAGGAACAGCTGCCATGCAGCTCCTTTCTTCTGGCCCTCTGCTCATTAAACCCCATGGCCAGGGAGACTCAGATACTCTGGTGGAATCTCATTCTCTGCATTAGTCAGCGTAGGCACTGGACTCCTAGAATCCTAGAGCTGGAAGACCCCCTCAGAAGCTGGAACGAGGTGTACAGATAGTTCGGAATGGCTACGTAGTTCGAACTATCTAGCCCGTGCCGCGTGTAGCCGCGCGGCACGGGGTTCGCACTAGCCGGCTTTTAAAAATGGCGGCGCCGGCTTTATGCTATCCTTGACAAACAGTGAACTGACTCCTGGAGAAGGCGCCTGGCTGTGACTCCCAAGAGGAAATAGACGCCGCACTCCCACCCAGATCGGGGATCAGCAAACAGTCGGGTTTACTTGGGTGGTAACCCCTAGGCCTGAAAGTCACTGGTTGCACAAGCAGCTTTTTAACCCCTTTGCATCCCTGGATGGGAAAGCCCAGGAGATGCTAATTTCCCAGGCCACTGTATTTACCAGTCTGCACATTTGATTGAGGGTTTTTTGTTCATTTCATTTCCTCCTAGAGGTCACTTCAAAGTGCCGGGCCCATTTCTTAGATGAGAACGATCTGGTGAGGAAATCCCAGAACCAGAGTCTGGACACAGCTCACGGCTCATCTCCAGAGGATGTAGGTATCCTGGCAGCGTTGCCAGGCCCCGCTGTTTTCGGGATGCTCACGGCAAAGGCAGCTCAGGGAACCCCGGCTGAAGCAACTCAGTGATTTTGGGGTGCCAGGGAGGGGCGTTTGCCACTTCCCGGGCAAGTAACTTCTTTAAGGGACCTTGTGTTAGGGCCGCCAAAACTGAGTTGTTTTGGGGAATCTGAGCCCGGGTCAGTGTTGTCTGTCGCCCCGTCCCCAACAGCGAAGCCACGCACAGGTAGTGTTTTTGACACGGGATTTTCATCCCTGAGGCAAAAGGCTGCCCCTCCTGCCAGCAAACAGTAGCAACTTGCAGGTCGCAGGAGAGGTTATGTCTAGACTGCAGGCTTCTTCCGAAAAAACTTCTTCCGAAAGAGTATCCATGCTGAAAAAGTGCATTGAAAAAGCAATCTGCTTTTTCGAAAGAGAGTGTCCAGACTGAATGGGCGCTCTTTTGCATGTAAGCTGTGATTGCTATGGATGGAATGGCCACCAGGGCACCTGTGCTTTTTCCTCTTTTTCTGAAAGAACTCCTTCTTCCCTGTCCACGCATGGCTTTTTGTGAAAAGTGTCACAAAACCCATGGCTGAACGGGAGGACCAGACTGGGTGGTGGTAGCAAAATAAGACAGTATTTGCACAAAAGGAATTATTCTCTGCAGAGGTGTAGAAAGACTTCAAAAGCAAGGAAAAACACAATGGGCCAGTGTCTGCTTTCGTTTACATTGCAGGTAAATCTGGAGTAACTCAGAAGCAACTACTCTGACTCTGGGTGTACATGTAGCATTACCTCTGTGCACTTGGAAATTAAATGTATCTCACCTGCTATTTGTATTGGGATGCTGATCTGCAGAAAGGTGGACCGTGTTGCCTAGAATGCGCCGTTCCCCATCCCCAATCTCTACTCCCTTCTTCTTTTAGGACCATGACCTTTGCCTGTTTTTTTTTGTCTGATCTTCAGAGTATGGGAAGATTTTGCCAAAGTTTAGACAAGATTTTTTGCATCTCAACGGTAGCTTTTCCCAGTATTTTCGGTCCCCGCTGTTCTGTGTAGTTCCTGTAAGGAGGTGTCTGCGTAGAAATTGTGATTTTTATGGCTACTTTACGCTTTACTTTTTCAATGCCCCCCAAACCAAATCAACCAGCCAAACAAAAACAAAACAAAACCCCTTATGGTATTCTATAGTAATGGTCCAAAATGCTATTAACATTTACAAGCTGTAGAATTGTTTAGTAGTTATATAGGGATCTGTAGGGCTGCAATAAGCATGCAGAATACTTTGAGCATACAGAGAGTTAAACATGGAGGGGATGGAACTGGAAAATTAGATAGAAAGGAAATTGCTAAATTTCTTGCAATGTTGCCAGGATCCATCTCTGAAATTATTTATCTCCTTTTCATAGTCATTGGAGACAGCTATGGAAGATAACCAGATGTTCAAGTATCTCTCTCCTTTTTTTTTATCACATTCAAAGGACCTGTGTCTTAGCAACAACAACAGTTAATGTTTAAAAACCCTTTGCTGGCCCAAATCAAGGCAAAATGTTTATATGTGCAAACAAATCCAAAACTCCATAGAAAGTTCTTGTGGTTTGAGGCGATGGAGTAGGAAAATGCACAATGTGCAGTTAAAGCTGAAAATCCCTGCAGACCAGCTCTGTTAGAGGCAAGCCTTTAGCAAGTATGTAAAAGTTCACGGCCATTTCAAAAGCAACCAGTAATGTAAATAAGGGAAGATGCCACCAAAATGTAGAAGATGCTGTTATATATGTAGTGGACATGGTGAGAGTTTTCCTCTTCTTTTGGATTAAGACGAACACCTTTTTTTCCAGAGTGCTTTCAAAACCGAAGCACTTCAAATGTTCTCTGAGGCTCCTCTTCATGAGAAATAGAACCTCCTCCCATGGAAAACAATAGCAAAGTATTGTCAGAAAGTAGCAGTTCAGGTTAATTAGAATGACAATGTTACTGAAATTGTTTTCTCATCTGAAATGAATTTCTTCTAAAAAATGGTCCATCACTAGAAGGGAAAGATCTGTCTGGCTCACACCACAATCTATAGCTATGTCCTTTACTGATTCCTCCCTGCTTGGCAAGTCTGATTAGAAAGAATAGAAATTGCATAGGACTGAAGACTAACCCGGCAGCCTTAGGACAGGGTTGAGGCAAATGGATCAGATAGCGGGAGGATGCTTATGCTGGTGCTGTCCACGCTCTAAGGTTACTATTTATTGAAATTGCAATAGTGCTTAGAGCCGTGGCTTTCATCCTTTCCAGAGTCCAGTTTCAGGAGTTGGATCCATCTTGTATACTCCATGTTTCACCTCACTTTAAAAATGACTTTCTTACAAACTCTGACACCCTACTATGAAAGTGCCACAGCACACTAGTGGATAAGTTTGTGGGTCACAGATTGGGTAATCAGCGATAAATGCAGTGCTTTTATTAAGGCCTGCTCTATACTACGTGGTTCAGCTGACGTAAGCTGCTTTGCACTGATCTAGTTGTAGACATGTCTCCACTTAAATTTGATTCCCACTAACCTAAGTGTCTCTTTATACTTCTTGGGGAAATGGTGTTACTAGTTCGGCATAGAGTCATGGTCAATGTAATTATGTGGATGCAGTGTCAGACTAGATGCTACGTTGCTTAGGTCGACTGTAACTGGCTTTTGGGGCTGTCCCACAACGTTCCACACTGACAATAAAATTGGGTACAAGTGTGCCATCAATTTGCATACTCACCAGGGGCAAGGAGCCGAATGTGTGCACACACGAGTGATTTAATAAAGGTAGTAGTCGTATGCTGACGTCAATTAGGTCAACGTAGTTTTGCAGTGCAGACATTGCCAAAGACCATGTTTTTTAATGTCTAGGAAAGTTATGAATTTAAGCTCCCAAGCTTGTCTTTGAAAGTGTTCGGCAGATTTTCTTTGAGGATGAGGCCTGCGAGCTCAGATGTAGAGGCACTGTTTTGTGTTCAGCCACCGTGGATGTGTTTTCAAGATTGATCACTTTCCTGTGAGAGTTCATTGGAGAGTGCTGTGATTGACTGGTTTCACCCCCATATTGCCAGGCCCCGCTGTTTTCGGGATGCTCACGGCAAAGGCAGCTCAGGGAACCCCGGCTGAAGCAACTCAGTGATTTTGGGGTGCCAGGGAGGGGCGTTTGCCACTTCCCGGGCAAGTAACTTCTTTAAGGGACCTTGTGTTAGGGCCGCCAAAACTGAGTTGTTTTGGGGAATCTGAGCCCGGGTCAGTGTTGTCTGTCGCCCCGTCCCCAACAGCGAAGCCACGCACAGGTAGTGTTTTTGACACGGGATTTTCATCCCTGAGGCAAAAGGCTGCCCCTCCTGCCAGCAAACAGTAGCAACTTGCAGGTCGCAGGAGAGGTTATGTCTAGACTGCAGGCTTCTTCCGAAAAAACTTCTTCCGAAAGAGTATCCATGCTGAAAAAGTGCATTGAAAAAGCAATCTGCTTTTTCGAAAGAGAGTGTCCAGACTGAATGGGCGCTCTTTTGCATGTAAGCTGTGATTGCTATGGATGGAATGGCCACCAGGGCACCTGTGCTTTTTCCTCTTTTTCTGAAAGAACTCCTTCTTCCCTGTCCACGCATGGCTTTTTGTGAAAAGTGTCACAAAACCCATGGCTGAACGGGAGGACCAGACTGGGTGGTGGTAGCAAAATAAGACAGTATTTGCACAAAAGGAATTATTCTCTGCAGAGGTGTAGAAAGACTTCAAAAGCAAGGAAAAACACAATGGGCCAGTGTCTGCTTTCGTTTACATTGCAGGTAAATCTGGAGTAACTCAGAAGCAACTACTCTGACTCTGGGTGTACATGTAGCATTACCTCTGTGCACTTGGAAATTAAATGTATCTCACCTGCTATTTGTATTGGGATGCTGATCTGCAGAAAGGTGGACCGTGTTGCCTAGAATGCGCCGTTCCCCATCCCCAATCTCTACTCCCTTCTTCTTTTAGGACCATGACCTTTGCCTGTTTTTTTTTGTCTGATCTTCAGAGTATGGGAAGATTTTGCCAAAGTTTAGACAAGATTTTTTGCATCTCAACGGTAGCTTTTCCCAGTATTTTCGGTCCCCGCTGTTCTGTGTAGTTCCTGTAAGGAGGTGTCTGCGTAGAAATTGTGATTTTTATGGCTACTTTACGCTTTACTTTTTCAATGCCCCCCAAACCAAATCAACCAGCCAAACAAAAACAAAACAAAACCCCTTATGGTATTCTATAGTAATGGTCCAAAATGCTATTAACATTTACAAGCTGTAGAATTGTTTAGTAGTTATATAGGGATCTGTAGGGCTGCAATAAGCATGCAGAATACTTTGAGCATACAGAGAGTTAAACATGGAGGGGATGGAACTGGAAAATTAGATAGAAAGGAAATTGCTAAATTTCTTGCAATGTTGCCAGGATCCATCTCTGAAATTATTTATCTCCTTTTCATAGTCATTGGAGACAGCTATGGAAGATAACCAGATGTTCAAGTATCTCTCTCCTTTTTTTTTATCACATTCAAAGGACCTGTGTCTTAGCAACAACAACAGTTAATGTTTAAAAACCCTTTGCTGGCCCAAATCAAGGCAAAATGTTTATATGTGCAAACAAATCCAAAACGGGATTGGTTGCCCCACTGTACAGCTGGGGACTGGAAGCCTTGCAAAATAAAGCAGCTTAGTGACTATGCTGCAGTTGAGCCCCACAACTGCTGGGTCCCAGCCCAAGGCCTTAACCACAAACCCAACCTTCCAGCTATGCCATTCAATTTGTGGTGTGCTGTGTGCTTTTCCCTTCTGTTCCGGTTCCCTCCTGCCACCCTGCACAGGCCGCCTACTGCTCTTTACTGAAATCCACCTTCCGGGCCTTGGCAGAGCCCTGCAAAGAGAAGAACTCAACCGTGTGTCTGGAGGTAAGAGACTCCTAGGTGTTTTATCGCAACTTTCAGGTGTAATTAGATATGAACAGCCATTGGGTCATAGGGCCGTCCCTAGGCATACGCAGAATAGGCAGTTGCCTTAGAGCACCAGCATTTCTGGGGCACCACTCTGCCAGGATGGACGGAAGCAGCGGAGCATGTGTAAGCAGGGGCTTTGCTACTGCTTGCTGTCAACCAGAGCTGCCCTGTGGCTGGGTATGCTCACTCTAAGGCTGCGTCTAGATTGGCAAGTTTTTGACCAAAAGCAGTTGCTGTTTTACTGGCCGCTTGAATTTGCGCAAGAATACTGATGATCTAATGTATGATCGTCAGTGTTCTTGCGCAAATACAATGACTCTCCTTCTCGGGAAAAAACCCTCTTGCACAAATGCTTTTGCACAAGAGGGACAGTGTAGACAACTGAGAACTGTTTTGTGCAAAAAAAACCCAATGGCAAAAATGGCGATCGGGGCTTTTTTGCGCAAAACCACGTCTAGATTGTCCACGGATGCTTTTGCACAAAAGCGCTTTTGTGCAAAAGCATCCATGGCCAATCTAGATGCGCTTTTGCGCAAAACAAATCTGAGCTGTCTACACTGGCCCTTTTGCGCAAAAGC